ATTGGATCCCGGAATATGGGCAGGAAAAAAAATCACCAAAAAAGTTTGATACAAAAATGCAAGACGAGATACAAAATTTATACAGTTAATCAACAAAAAAAAGGAAGCCGTGATGCATTATATTTTGCTAGCAATATCTATCGCAACACATGTCATTATCCAAAGGGAATGGTTTACACTTTCCTTTTCAATCCAAGGCATTCATTCAGAATTTCAGATTTCAGTGTGTAATGGTCAGCAATGCGTATCAAAATGCAGCTACATGTTTGAATATCTTTGGGAGATATCAACAACTAATCCAGAGAAAAGAGAGCTAAAATACGCAAGATACATGCAATTGGGAGGTGTTTCGTCACAGCTATTTAATCCTTCCTGGAATTTATCCGCCTCTAGCTTCTCTCCGTGTAGCGTCATGAAGCAGTTCAATGTCCACTCCTTCTGGAGGCAACTGCACATACCTCACCACTGACCCTCTGATGAAACAGTTCCTCACTGAAAGCTATCATCACAATATAACATGTTAGAGGAGGTATGTTGGCCTTTTTCACCTTAACAACCTGGGTATTGATTTTCAATACTGTGTAACAACTAATAACAACACCGGCCACCACCACCAACAATATCCAAGCCTTAGTCTCAAAAGAGTTTGGGGTAGGATAACATGAATTGACACATGTAATCGGAGCTAAAAACTCCAGGGCTGTTTGGTTTGAGGATTTCGGAGGGCGGGATGGTACTGTATTTAAAATATTTTCTACATTTATCTGGTTGTAAAATAAGGAGGTGATAAAATAATACATTGAAATAAATTACTCCGTATTTAGCTAATACAACAGTAACAACATCCAAGCCTTAGTCCCAAAAGATTTTTGGGGCAGCTAACACGAATCAATACATGATATTGGATTCAAAAGGAAAAGAAAGATGAAAAGATAAGGATTAAGGAGTGATAAAAAAAACAGTAAAATAAAAACGAATCATCCCCACATCTCTTTCCACTGAAATACCCAAACCAAACAATCTGTTAATGACTACCATCTTGCGCTCACAACAATTGTGCTGAGAGCTAACCGATTAGTGATTGCAAGACAAACAACATATGTAACCTTCAAAGTTCAAAACCCAGCCAACGAACATAAAGAGCACATGTATACAGAGTATAGACAATCTACATCTAGGCAGCTGTGGTACATAGGCCAGCTAATCGCAAGATGGCAACATCGTTCAAGAGATAAGAGTTTTATTTTGTTGTACTGCTCTTTAGATTTAAAATAATTGTGTGATTATGGAAATCAATTGTAATCATCAAGCACACACATATATGGACCAACAAAACCATACTCTCAACTCCTAATTGCAATTAGTCATCAGGGTAGTTGAAATCCAGATTCAAGATTCTGTGCAAATTTTAAAGCACAGCAAAGTAAGATTATATATTGTACTACGTAGTACTCTACCACAGATTTAAGATAGAGTGAAAAATGATTAAACATGTGCACATAAATTCATACAAAACAGCATAAATAAGATTTAAAAAACCACTAAAACACACTTTAAATCCTCAACCATTGACATAATTATAATGTAAGGAAGTCATCACACAACTATGTCAGTAGCCCATATCTAAGCAGTATAACTTGTCATAACAAGTCTAATTTGGACAAAAAATGCAAAATTGGTGGAACTGAATAACTTCAACCTCATAATATTATCCCAAACAGAATGTGAACAACAAAGTTTCCGAAGATATCTAGTCATCTAGTGTATGATTGGTTGAAGAATTTAGGGGGATATCGCAGGGGAAGGCTCTGGAGGGCTTAATCAATAGCTTGATAAATAGGATGTTTCAAAAAGGAAATAAAGGGCAATTCAAATATTGTATATCACATATGGAGTATTATATTATTCCTTGAATTCATATAAATTCTAAGATATATCAATAGACAAGTGACTCTAAAAAATCCACTGTTTCAAATCCTAAATCCCCAAGCTCCTGTTAGTCACAACATGTCACTGTGAGTTCTCTCTTTTCATAGCTTGTAATAACTTATCACCACTCCACCAGCGAAAAAATGAAACCAATAAAATTATACGGAGTACAAAATTTGAAGAAAACTGTTTTATACTTTTATTGCAAACAGCACAACCGTATCATATTAAGTCATGAAAGAAACCAGATGCTATGGATGATTAAAGGTGGTGCAAACATGTAAAAATTTCTAACTTAGTTTTAAAAGGTATGAGGCGCCAATGTGCCATGAGGCGTTTTTGTTAAATTTAGCCAAGGTGCCATGAGGGCAACAAGCATATGGAACACCAAAATCATTCACAACAGAAACAAAATAAAATATTCAATGAAGTCTGATAAAGTTTATAATGTCAAGTTTAAATTTATCAACTTAATGTGTTGTGGATGTTAAAAATTAAAATATATCAGTTAGTTAGTTACTTAGCTACATGGTTAAAAGTTAAAACATTAACGCTTCTAATTATAAGACTATCAGAATGATTACAAAATTAAGGCTTGCTGGTTACAATCAGAAATATTTTATTAAGGCTTCTGGTTTTATGACTATCAGATAAAATATAAATTAGCTTTCAGACTTTCAGTTAGCATATGAAAGCTTCTAGTTATAAATTGGAATTTTAATGTTGCCTGTATTTTGTTGGGAATACAAAACTATGTTGGTACCACGTATAAAAAAAAAGGAGAGCATGAGCGCAAGCATGAGTGCAAACTGCTCTATCTGCAATTGGAGCAAAAGTGAAGGAGAGCATGATTATGAGAAGTGGGAAAATAGGAAAAGATTAAGAGAAGAAAGGAGGGAAAAAAACCTACATGAAAGAGGGCAACATGTGACAAAAAGGGGAAGAGTTTGATTTGTGATAAATAAGAAGAGATGGAGTGGATTTGGACTCTGGGAAGTACATGACCTATATTAGTAAATACTACACAACAGAAGAACAAAACTCTAGGAAACTTATGTCAAATAAATAGCGACTGGCATATAAATCATCAAATTTACAAAAATCACGGGGTAGCTAATGCATTCGCCCCCTGAGGCGTGAAAACGCTGAAAGAAGCGAGGAAGGCGCACGATTCATGGAATCTGCTGCTCCCAAGTTATCTGTAGCGATTTTTCAACACATAACTACGCATCATGGAATAGCTAATGCATTCGCCTAGTCATGTCTAGTGCATGCTTTGTAAAACTAAGATTTCTACATTATCAAATGATTAAATCTCTCTCGAGGCATGCAATACTAGCCACATAAATGGTATCCAGATGTAGTTTAGACATCTGGTCTGACTTTCTGAGTGTACACTTGTATATCAAGAATCCACTAAACAAGCCAAAGCTTACAGACCAGAAGAAAATGATTTTAGATCTTTTTGAATGACTATGTTTAGTACTGGACATACATAGCCCATATATATGCTACAAATCTCCCCAATCTTTTTGAATGACTATGTTTAGTACTAAACATACAAAGCCATATATATGCTACAAATCTCCCCTTACGACAGTTCTCTAGAAAAATATAGACCAGGTAGTCACAAAAACACATGCCAAGTTACCTTCACATTAAGGTGTACCTAGTGCTGAAACTCCCATAGAATGGGTTACCTGAAAGGGGATATCTAGGATCTTTTTGAGAGGAACAACTTACATTCATGCATATCCAAATTCCAAAGTTCAATAAACACAGTGGAATACATAAAAATCTAACATAATAAGACATCTCAATTGTGACACCCCACCCCCCCCCCCTCCAGCGGTAAAATTTCTCCAATAAACCCTAGAGCCCAACACTTTTAGTGACACAACACTTCAATAGGCATACTAAGACATGAACTGGGCTGAAATTAACAAAGGAACAGGTGCAGAATTCACAGAATGAGAAAACAAACCATTGAAGCCAATCACATAAGAAAAACCCCTAATTACAGGATGATAAACCCTAGCAAAAAAAATCATTACTAAGAATAAAGAAAAAGTTAACTGAAAAAAGAGGGAGCTTACCATGTGAGGGAACTTGTCTTGGTCAACAACCCTAGTATTCTCGAGCTTAATGTTAAGGTATTGGTCCACGGAGTGAAGGGTTCCCCTTATCGCCAAATCATTCTTCAGTTCCACAGTCACTTCTCTCCCTACCAAATCTTTGAAGTACGAGAAAAACAACTGCGACCCAGGAAAACCACATTAATCGATAATCCAATTTAACCTGAAGAAGGAACTGCTGTCGAAGTAAGGAGGGACTAACCATTTTCTTCTAGAGAAATTATACTGCTGCTCTACACAAGATTCCGAAGCGGTTGGGAGAATGAAGGAGATAGAACTTGTGCCCTTCCTAACCTTTATATATACTCTGTTCCGCATATAAATTCCTTATGGTGCAGCGTTGCTTGCCTTCTACCGGACGGAATGGGTACAATACAAGTCTATCTATTTTAATTTTTTTTGAAAAAAAAAAATAGCTCATTAAAAAACAATTTTTGGAATTTTTTACGAGAATATTACTAAAATAAAATTTATTTACATAAATATGACTAACAACGTAGTGCTGTGGTAACTAAAGTCTAAAACTTGAATATGAATTACTATGATTTGATTACTACTTTAGTAATGAATCATATTTTTGTAAACCATCTTTATTTTGGTCATATTTATGTAATCTATTTATATATAAGAAAAGAATAGGCTCCTTAAAGTACAATTCTACCCTCAAATCCTACGTGTTGCTCTTCCCACGTTTTTCTCCTTTCACGTTCTGCTGCCACGTGGCTCCATCATTTCGAAGCGTTTTTTTGGCTTTACGAACGAACAAAATTGCCGATGTACTTTCCATCTTCTCCGCACTCTATCCAAATTTGCAGCCTAACTTTTCTCACATCGCTCCAGCAGCTACACAACGCGAGATTACCGCACAACTCTTCACCGAATCAGATCTCCGAATAATACCGTCACTAGGGTTCGTACAGATAAAGATCGACATTAGGGTACGTATTCTCGCTGCACGAGTAGCCAAGGTATTTTGTGATTCCTCCTTTTCCTCTATTTCTCGATTCTATGTAATTCAACCATGTTAATTTCTATCTCGGTGTAGTTTTCTTCCACGTCAACCCAGCTTTGCAAGCACAAATCCTTGGGCCCAATTAGCATGGATACTTGCTGATTCTTCCACATCAAAATTTAAAATTCATAATATAACAAAGGACTCATTTTTCTTCTTAGAGTTGAATAGGTTAATCTGTTTTCTATTCCTTCAAATGCATATTATTTGTTCTATTTTGTTCAGCATGTTTTATTTTTGTTCTGTCTTTTGTTAACTAATAGCATCATACATTTGTTTAAGCATTTGCTGACCTATTGCAATAATATCACATGGAGCTATAACAAAAAACTGACTATTGTTAAGCACTTTTCTTCTTAGAGTTGTATGTATAAGAACAAACTGATTTTGAAATCAAAAGTAAATCTGTTTTAATAATATCCAAATGACACCATAGTTATACCATTAAGAGACTATGTATGTCTAAAATTTAAAATTTGTAGACTTTTTGCGATAAGAGTCTATAAAAGTAGACATAGACCCAATTTGTGTTGCTTAGAGTAGTTTATAGCAGTCATTCTCATACTTAATTGTTTCGTTTGCCCTCTCTATTCTCCTAATTTTCTAGGTGCGAAAAAGTTCTTCACAGCACCTAGGACCTCCAAATAATGTTGTTACTATATATACATATGCAGATACACATTAAGGCTTCATACTCTCACTGCCAGAGTAGTGGAGGTACTACTCTAATTCTTTATTTCTCTGTTCTCTAATATAATGGAACATCCGTATATATAGTGAATTGCTTCAGATTTTTTTCAAACACTTCCTTCTTTATATACTATGTAGTACGTAATCATCCATGATGAGGACTCAGTTCTTTATTGTTAGTTTCCACTCTATGTGTCACACTATCAATGTATTTCTGTTTAAGCCAATAAACTTTTGGATATGATTTTCTAGATATATGAGTATGTTTTGTTTTTGTAGAAATAAACTAACACTCCATCAAATTAACAATATTATTGGTCTGTCTTTCAGTTGTGTGTTTTTTTCTGGCTAGGATAGTTTGAGAGGTCTTGACTCTTTAGTTGAAAATGGTCTTAATGTTCCATCAAATTAACAATATTATCAGCCTATCACTTTTAGTGTTTTAGTTTAGATGATAATGCATTCTATAAATTCCCTAGCCTCATTTATTTAACTACTCTGGTCAAAGTAGATGTCAAATTCATTTCTTTATATTTGATCCATAAGACAGAGAAACTCTGAACAAAACAAGTACACAGAACTCAACATTTGTACACGCTGCTTAATCCAGTTTCCATAACGTAAAAAAATCATATCACTGATGTTGTTTTGTTAGTTCATGCCCAACATACTTGGAGGGTTTATTTGTTGCTTTGAATGACTAATATTAAATACTTGCTCGGTATCTGAGCATTAATAACCTAAAGTTACATGGCTTTCAAATATTTTGTTTCACTGCAAACGTGAGTCTAATGGGCTTAGCATTGCAGGCTATAGGAGATACTAACAGAAACTTAAGTTCTACAATAGACAATCGTAGTAAAATACTGAAATGTAATGTGGATTAGTCTACTTGATATTGAATTGAAAAAATGTCCCAGTAGTTAAGCCTCCCATTTTAGTCTACCTAATATGAAATTAGTCTGCCTGGATCAAGTTTTCAAATCATTTCAATGACAGTAAGCTTCTATTATGGGGTTGCTGTATTTAAATAGATGTGAATGAACTTTTAAAGGTAGTAAATTGTTTCTTGTGTTTGAGTTTTCTTTTGTAAATTGTTTATGTGAAAAAGAATAAATAACAAGTAAGCACATTAAGAAGTATGATATCCACCTGTATTGAAATGAAATTTGTGTTGCTACTGATATGATTCACCTATGATTTAATTGGAAGTGCCTGACCTCATATCTTTGAACAAAAAGTTAAAAAGTGAATAAAGTGGGAAAAACAATTGAGCCAATCTAGAAAGAGTAAGTGACCTACTAATACATACTACTATTACTACTTTATCACTATATATAATTGCAATCAAAGTAGGGATTTATGCTATTACCGCTCTAATAATATAGGTACGCTACCTGTTCTACTCACTCCATGTTCGTTCTATTGTTGTAGAGTTTATTTCTCAGTTTTTTACACGAGTTTTTATGCATATATAGTGTATGTGGTGCTCGATGAAATGTTTGAGTGAGAACAATGTATTAATTCTTTAGTTGAGTTTTATTTTTTCTTAGTTTAGTTGCAATAAAGATGTTAGGGTCCAGACTATTACACCAAAATGGTGGCCTTCCGAATGAATCGATACTCTGTTGAATTTCGTTTCAATTATTTTCATATGCTTTTGGTTGTTTAACTTTCATATTTTTTGTCGTTACAAGAGAAACTTTGTTCCAGGGGGCAGGGGCTAAGCCGCATCAAAACTTAGAAATTAGATAGAATGAAGACTTAGAGAAGAAAAATGACGGGGCCACGGGCTATGCCGAATCAAACCTTAGTCGTTATTATCATGTTTTCATTTTCATTTACTATGCCTGCCATCCAAGACCTCTCCGATATTTCCGTGTGCCAGACCAGAAAGCTCCTGCTATTTCTTAATTGTACTGTTCTTAATTAATGTTTATTATCATTATCTTAAAAAGGATATAGGTATTGGAAGATCCCTTTGAAAATTAAAATTTTCTTTTGACAGGTGTGGAGCGTCGGGTGGATTGTTCAGGACAGTGCGGTTTGTGTGCTGATCCAGGAGAGCCTTTGGCTCATATTTTTCAGCCCTGTAGCAAGCGAGGCATGGACGGCGTTGTCCTGGAAATGGATTGGTCACGGTGCAACTTATTTCTTGGAGCAGGTACTGAAGGAGTTCAGTTCGAGAAGAAAGGAAGATTTAGTGAAACTCATTTGGGGATGCTGGGCCCTCCGGTGCGAGAGAAACCGTCGAGTATGGCAGAATTCTTCATCTTTGGCGCGCCAATTTATGCTCAAGACAGAGGCGTTTGTGAAGGGTTGGATTCAATAGCAGGCTCCTAGCAGAGGAGGAAGAGCAGCGGGGCATGCAGCAGCCTGTTCAATCATGGTACTGTCCAACAGCGGGGAGGATGAAGGTGAATGTTGATGCCGCTATCCGCGAGGGCTTCTGCGATCTGGGTCGGTGTATTATTGGGGATGATGAAGGTAGATTTGTGGCTGGTGTTGCTCGCCTGAGGCAGGGGCTCTATCTGTTTTGAAAGCCAGAGTTGATCGGGATTATGGAAGCTTTGAGTTGGCTACTGGATTTGGAGTGGAAGGATATTGAAGTTGAGTCTAATGCTTCCCGCGCTATATTGGAAATTTTGAAGGGCTCGAGTAATTCTTCCTTCGGATTGGTGGCAGATGATATTAGAGATCTGGCTAAGAATTTTTCCAGCATCTCTTTTCCTCACGTCAGAATGTCAGCCGCTCATGTCATAGCAAAGATGGCACTTTCGTTGTTTGATTCTCCATTGTTTAATCGACAATGATTTGATTAATATTAGTTAATCTTTTTTCTCTAAAAAAAGGATTTAAGCATTATTCACGCTCGATGCTTGTCTTTGATTATTCAAAGGACACGGTTGCCTCTTTCTCTATTGTTCACCTTTTCTTTTAATCTTCATGTCCTATTCAGGCATTCAGCTGATAAAATATGCTCGAAAAAAGACACCACAACCAATTCTTTATGACATTAATATTACATATATAAAATTTAAAAATCAAGGTTTATTAAACACCCTTTATATTATCCAACTTCGATACTCATTATTTCGTATTAAATAGAAAAATAAATTCAAATATTTGACCAAAATAGGAAGGGCGGATAAAAATATGTCTTACGAAGTACTCCCTCCGTAACTTAAAAATCTTCCCACTTTCCTTTTTCGTCCGTAACACAAAAATCTTCCCATTTCTAAATCTTCCCATCATACCCTCAATAATTCTTAAAATAATACACTATTACAACTACTTTTTTTGGATTTATCCTACATTCCACCACATTATTCCACTATTTTCCCATCATACCCTCAATAATTCATATCATCTTTCACTATTCTTAATCTACCTACTTTTGAAATGGGAAGATTTTAAAGATACGGAGGGAGTATAACTTTTACGGATTATATTTATGTTTAGACTTACATTAGAAAAACTATTTTTCTCTTTAGCATTTTTTTTGAAAAAAAAAATCATTTAATTGGTACTTCTATGGTTTTCTTTTATACGTACTATTATCTAATGCTAATTAGAAACCTGAAAGGATTAACTCCATGGGACTTTTCGAACTTATGTCCAATTTGCTCTCATTTTATTAGTGAATTCATTTTATTAGTGAATTCTCTTCGCCATTTTTACATCATACAAGTGTTTTAAGCCTTAAAAGTCATTAATGGAGCTTTCAAGAAAAAAGGAAAGGATCCCCTACATTTGGAGGGAAGCCTCCTATTTATAGAAAAAAAAAGAGCAACACAAAAGCTACCCTAATAGGTCAAAATGGCCGAAACGGGCCGACTGGGCCAAATGGATTGAAATGGGTTTCATGGGTCGGGCTCCATATCACGATAATGTCTTCAGCTCCTGAACAATAGTAGATCGATCACAGTAATATATTCCAACAATTATATACGGAGTATGTCTTATTCAAACTACATGGTTATTGTTGTAATTGATTTATTCTAAACACTATTATGCTTTTTTAAGATATGAAAATCATTGAGTTCCAAAAGATAGAACTGTCTGTGTCATATTCTTTTTTTATCTACCAACAAGAAGCTTTTCTTTCACCTTCCCAATGATCAATCAATATTCTTTAGTGAGCACAATAACCTTAATTCGGTGTTGATAAAAAGCCTTTAAATAATCAATGTTTACATAATCGGTGCAAGATTTATCTCTGCAAAATTCATTTCACGATTTCTATATGTAGCTAGCAAGAGGTGTTAGAAATCACAAGTGAATGTTTTCACTATTTTTAGGATCATTGGGGTATCTCCAACTTCATTTGAATTATTCTATTTAAGAATGATCACGATGACAAAAGAGCTATGTTGTTATGAAGATATTAGGAGTTAGGACAATTACATACATTTGAATTCATGCCGTAGAGAAGTGGGTTTTGAAATGAGGTTGCCTACGTATGAAACATAAATATTGAAGCTTGAAAGAAGTGAAGGACTAAGGATCAGGAAATTGTTTGAGAAAATTGTTTGTCCCATTCACATTTTATAGTTGGAGACGAAGAAATAGAATATTTAAATTGTGATCCTGTAGATCACTCGGATGTAGTTGAAGCGGAAACATTTGAAACATTGACACCTGACTTTCTAAGTTCCTGGAGAACAACGAGACTTTCGAATCACTAAATAAGACTTAAACTTGGAGCTCAATAAGACTTAAACTTGGAGCTCCAAACAATATTATAGCAATAAGGACCATGTAAGAGAACTAGATTAATTGTTACAATTCTTGGATCTCATGCATCGGAACAGTCAACAAATCTCAAAGGTAATCAGTGGACTAAATTAAATTATACATGCCAAAACCTGACTTTAGACATGCCCAATTATATATTGCAATATTTAGAGTTCAATGCAAACATGAATAAAAAATTTTAATACATGATAAGGATGAGAAATCATTAGATATTACTACAAATTTTAATAACTATACTTAAATGTTTTATTACATGTTCCCACCAATTTAACTAATATTCATTACTCCTAATATTTTATGGCACTCACTTATTGTACTCACTTTGTAGAATGATATTTAATTTAATTTCAAAATTAATTTAATCATGAAAAGTAACTCTTATGAGTTGTGTCAATTAATTTTCCATAATATACTCTGCATTTAATATTGATTATCTGAGTTTACATTTTATTGTACTAGATTATTATTCTTCTATTTTTGAAAAATGTATAATACTAAAAAAAATATTTTATTTCAATATTTAATTAGATAAAGAGTACATATATGCACCGACTGCTCTTCCCGTGCGTATGCACGGGTACTATACTAGTTATTTCAAAAACAATTATACTCAATCATATGTGTCCTTCTCTCCATATTTCACTCCTTTAATATACAAATGCCAAGTGGCAAATTTAAGGACTAATTAATAATAATGCTCCCTAATAATAACCATTTGTATCACTCCACTCCATTATAAAACGTGGCATCAATATTAATTATTACTACTTTCTTCAAAATGTTACAACTTTTTCATTTTTACTCTAATTTTTAAAAAATATATATTAAAAATTATAATTTTTTACGATCTTTCATATGACACCAATATTGCATATATAAAATTTAAAAAATTTTGAAGGTTTATTAAAAAAACAATGTAAAGTGGCAAAAAATATATCATTGGTAAAATGGAAAATATAAAATATGAATGTCAATGTTAAAAATGTCATAATGTTAAATCTATCATATTTTATTTTTAAAAAAATAACATTTTTGAATAGTCTCTTTATATAAATGAAAATTACTCAAAAATGTAAATGTACTTGCTTATGCTGGATTAATAATGAGAATCTCATAAAAATGTCACGATTTAATAAATATATCCCTATGTAAAACTAATCTCTTTATAAGTGTAAGCAGAGGCAAATCCATGAATGAAATGTAGAGTGAGCTAAGCAGACAAAAGAATCTATTGCTGCACACACAAGATTTAGCTTATAGTACGGTTGTTACGGAACATAACTTTTTTTGAACTACCCGAGTTTGAGCTTGATTTTGAATCCAATTTAACGATCCAAGTTTAGCGAGGTTCAAATTCGAACACAAATTGCATTTTTTGTTTAAATAGTTATTCAAGTTTATGTGTGTGTCTCAATGAATGTGAATTTTTAATTGTGTCATACGAAATATAATCTTGCTAATAATTAAGCGAGATAATTTTCTCCCTCATATTAAAAATTCACATTCATAAAATTGCATATTCATATGAGACAATTAAAAATTCACATTCGTATATGAGACACACACATAAACATGAATATGTATTTAAACAAAAAAAATGTAATTTGTGTTCGAAATAATTAAGCGAGATAATTTTCTCTCATATGTAGTACTTTTAGGTATAAGATAATTTTCTCTCTCATATGTAGTACTTTTAGGTATAAGATAATTTTCTCTCTCATATGTACTACTTTTAGGTATAAGATAAACTTGCCAACAATTGAGTGAGAGAATTTTGTCTTTCATATGTAGTGTTTTAAGGTATAAGAAGATAAACTGCATAATAATTGAGTGGAAGAATACTCTCTATTATGTAGTGTTTTGAGATATCACAAGATAAACTTGCTAACAATTTGGCCGAAAATTTTTCTCTCATATATATAGTGTTTTTAGGTATTCGAAGATAAGTTTGCGAACAATTGAACGAGAGAACTTTCTATCATATATGTAGTTCTTTTAAGTGCTAACAATTAAGTGGTATAATTATCTCTCTCATGCCAAGTGTTTATAGGTATATGATATGCTGGCTAAAAATTTAGCAGAAAATTATAACTCTCACATGTAATGCTTTTAGATATAGTGTGTGAAATTTACATATAAATGTCACAATATAAAAAACAATGTCGCTTTTGTAAAAACATGTCACTTTGATAAAATGTTATACAAAACTTTATATTTTAAAAAAAGTAACCACGTTTAAATGATGTCAATGTTGATAAAATATTAAAATGTCATAATGTCAAAATTACTAAACAAAAGACGCATTTATATTAAAAATTGGGGTGGGTTAAAAAGAGTGTTCAACTCAAGATAAGCAAAACCATCATTTTAATTCGGCTACACTTCACTTTTTGTTCAAATATTGCACTTCTTATGCCCATGAAAATCATTCACATTGCTCACATTAAGACTTCTTTTTATGTGATAAAAAATCATATGGATTGTCATCATGAAAAATAATACTCCCTCCGTCCCATTGGACTTTGCCAACTTTCCCTTTTGTGTTGTCCAAAAAAAATTGTCACTTTCATATTAAAGCAACTTATTTGTGGTTTTGCACATTTTTCTATCCTCTGAACAAACCTCAACCACTCAATTTTTACTTTTCTTATTTATCACCTACTTCAAACTTGGCAAAGTCCACCTGGACAAATGTAGTATTTTTAGTGGTGAATCATTCTATTTTGACATATGAATGTCATATTAGAAATTTGTTGGTCTGGTCAAAACTGGTCTGATCTGGTCTTTATGTACGTATTTTATAACTATAGAAATTTGGTCTAATCTGATCTGTTTAAGTCAGGTTTGTTGATAACACGGAAATTGGCTTAATCGGCTAGTTGTGCTGAAATTTATAAAGTTCGGGCTGAAGTGGCTATGTTGGTTGATTCTGCTGATTTATGGAAAAAATATTTATAATGTATTTTATTAATAAAATAAAGAAGAATTATATGAAAAACAGCTAAAATGGTCATCTACAGTAGCTTCAGCCAATACAGCTAGAAAAGTAACTCTAACCTTACATTTTCTTATTAATACAAAATCTCGTGCACAAAATCAAAAGTTACGTGCTTGGTTAAAAAGTTGGTTGATAAGCTGAAAAAGAGAGTCACCAAACGGGTTCTATATTTTTTAGTTTGGAAT